TTTGGTGTTTTAAGATTCTACATACAATGATATCATAGAGTATTTGTCCTTCTCTGCCTGAATTTTAAAAAATATTTTATTTATTTATTGAGAGAGTACATGACCAGGGGGAGGGGCAGAAGGAGAGGGAGAGACACAGAATCTCAAGCAGATCCCCTGTTGAGCAGGGAGTCTGATGTGGGATCTGATCTCGTGACCCCGAGATCATGACCTGAGCTGAAAGCAAGGGTTGGTTGCTCAGCCAACTGAGCCACCCAGGTGCCCCTGCATGACTTATTTTAGCATAAGGCCCTCAAGGTTCATCCAAGTTGTTGCAAATGGTAGGATGTCCTTCTTTTTCATGGCTGAGTGATATTCCATCCCGTATCTGTACCACATCATCTTTAACCATTTGTCTGTCGATGGACACTTAGGCTGTTTGCATATCTTGGTTATTGCATCACACTGCTTCTCACATTGTGTCTGCGTCACATGTACTCCAGGGAATTTGTCACAGGCAAAAATTTCTTCTTAATTCCCCACCCCAAGCCTTTCACCATAACCACCACTGCTGAGATGCTGATTCTAATTCTCATTTCCCTACTCCTCTGGCCTCTGCCACCTCTAAAACCCCTTTCAGACCAAGTTCTTCCCTGCCCGTCCTGACTGCCTCCCTGCCCAGTGTCATCTTCCTCTGGCTTCTCTGTGGGAAATGGGGCTTGTCATCTTGTCGTCCCACGTCTACATCTTGTACTGAAAGATTAAAATGCCAAGTGACTGTTGTAGAAGTCCTCACAGGGAGCCCCCGGGTGGCCTAGGTTAAGTGTCTGCCTTCAGCTCAGGTCATGATCCCAGGGTCCTGGGATCGAGTTCCTCATCTGACTCCCTGCTCAGTGAGGAGTCTGCTTCTCCCTTTGTCTCTGCCTGCTGCTCCCCCTGCATGTACGTGTGCTCTCTGTCACACACAAACACACAAATAAAACAAACAAACAAACAAACAAATAAAAAGTCCTCACAGTCATAACAGTACACATTAAGGGGTGCCTTAAAAAAAATTCTTTTGAAAATTGTAATTTGTATCTCTGGGTACCTGAACCTGGCAAAGAAACTGCCAGAGGGCAAGCAGGATCCTCATCTCTTCCAAAATCTCTTTGCTAAGGAGAGCTCAAGGGCAGGAGAGACAGACATGCCTAGAATCCATTCTCTGCTCTGACTACAACAAGCTACCCCTCTGTGCCAAGCCCTGCACTGGATCCAGGTATGAAACGGCAAAACGGAGCCAACAAGGTAAGACCTCGAGAATTCCAAGTCCTGTGGGGGCAACAGGCATGAAAAAGCAAGCACTGACGTCCATAAAGCATGGCAGACTTGGAAGTCCAGGAGCAGATAGAGATGGCGGTGGGCATAATTTATGGAGCACGTTTGAGAGTGTCCTTCTGGAGGGTGACTGGTAAACTGAGGTTGGAAGGATGCAGAGGTACCACTACATGAAGAGAAGAGAGGGTGGGTGTGGAAGAGTCATGAAGGGGTGGGCCCCAAGGAGGTTTAAACAAGGAAATACATATTTACACATTGTGTTAGACATTAAACAAGAAACTAAAAATGGGTAGAAATGGGGGTTACAAGGAAGGGGCTTTTCAGAAAGACAGAAATTTCTTCTGAAACCTACAGGATGAGATGGAGCATCCATTTAAAAAGACAGAAGAGTATCACAGATAGAATGGCATGTGCAAAAGTCCTGAGGTGAGAATGAGCTGGGCCTGTTCAAGGAAGCCATAGAAGCTGGGAAGTCTGGACTATGGTGACAGGGAGTGGAACCCAGAATGAGGCTGGACAGACGGACACTGGGCGGGCACATGGGACAGTGACAGCTTAGTCATGCACCCTGAAATTTATTCAGTGTCTAGTAGAAGTCTAGTAGAAGTACCAACAGATTAAAAGTTGGGGTGGGAAGAAGAGGCATTACAGCCTCTTCTTCCTTTTCCCAGCCACCACCCATCTCCGCACACTGAAGTCACTGGACCCCTGAGGCCTTCCATCATCTAACCCATCAGTATCATTGCTCATGGGTGAGCCCTCCCTGGCCCCAGACACACCATCTTCACTTGACTTCCCAGGACACCCCACTGTCCTTGGTAGGCTTTCCTCCTACCTACTGACCTCCCCTGACCCATGTCCCTCACCACTTCCACAACACTGTGACACTGGAGAGCTTCGTGAAAGACTTTGTGGCTCAGAAGTGGCTTCTCCTTCTGCTCTCTCTTATCATTTACCCTTTGATGTCCATAAAACCCATTCCTTCACTACCTTTCCATTCAGGCAAGTATTCCAATGTTTCACAGTGTCTCCTTCTGTTCTTTCAAAATGTGGATTATGTTCTAGGAAAAGTAGGTCGCTGCATGGCCCCTGTAGTAGCTGCCCAAGTCACAGATACTGTCTTATGCAAGCCTGTGGCCTTTGGCTTTCTCCACGCGGCTGCCACATTCCCAGGTGTTGGCCATATTTCTGCCCTTCCTGGCACCCGGACCAGCCCGTCTCAAAGCCTCCTCATGCAGCTTTCCCCTCAGCATGGACCCAGACATTTCTCCAGAGCAGGGTCCTCTCCCCACAGCCTGCTTATAGGACACAGTGCAGAAAGCCCCCCCCACCCCAAACCCAGCTGCATGCACCCTTAGGACTGCCTTTCCAGGGGCTTCTGCTCCTACAGTATGCTAATACAAATGTCCCCTTTGAATTCTCCTCACACAGTGTGTGAACAGGGGATTACAGAGCTCATCTCTCTGCACACCAAAACCCTCCTGCACTTCCTTCATGTGACTTCATCGATTCAGCCAATGGACAGCATGGCCGGAGGGGCCCCCTCGTGACAGTCGTGCTGCAGATGGTCCGCAGGGAGGGCACCAGGCCCTGGGGCGGTAGCAGGTGGTGATGGAGCATGCGCACTCGGGAGTCGGGGGGCCACTTGCCAGCCGGGTGCCCGGGTCACCTTCCTCACCCCTTGGGCCTCAGGTTCTCCCCATGAAACTCAGCGGGGTGTGGTGAGGGGTAAATAGAGAAACACGGTGACAACGCAGTCGCTGGGGATGAGAAGCCTTCATCTCTGGTGGAGAAGCCCACGCAGACAGGAACAGGGGGCCCTGGGTGGGGAAACACAGAGCAGGGGGTACCCCCTTTGCTCAGGGTTGGGGGATGCTCCTCAGAGCTGGAGTGTCTGGAGGTTTGCCGACAAAAACTAAGCATAGAGTAGTTGTTCCTCCAGTCTGATTCACAGAAGGACTGTTTATTCTGTTTTATTTATCCTGTCCTAGCAGGAACTATTAACAATAAAGATTCCAGTTTCTTATAAACAATGTTGACCCCAAAAAAGATCTTGTTTCTCTAGGGGGTGGGGAAAGTATACCATCGTGAATTTTGACTTCTAATGAGGCCCGAGTGAGAGGAACTCACGGCCCACAAACCTGCGACCCCCACTCCTGGAAGGAGCTTGAGACTTGCTGGGTAACCCGCGCCCACAGACACATCGGAGCCTCCAGAGGGGACACAAGCTCTGGGCTTATATGCAAATTCGGTCTTCTTTTTCCTTTCCGGAAGAGCTGCCTTTTCTCTGACAGAAAGAAAAGAGCCTCGGGTCTTTGTGCTTTGGGCCCCAAGCTCCAATGCAGACTGTCTGCTTCCCAGATGGGGCTTCACGGGCGCCCGTTCAGCCAGAACCAGCGTCACGTGCCCTGGGAAGAAGCCCAGTCTCCAGTGTTCTCTTGGGACCCACAGGGGCCCTACCTGAGCCTGTGGTCCAGGCAGTTAGGGAGAAGGCAGAAATGCTGTCAGAGGCCCAGGCTGAGGACAGGCAGGGTGGGAAGTGCTGGCCAGGGATGGAAAGGCAGGGGATTGTGCAGCTTCCAAGACCCCAGCACATGGAGGACCACTCAGGCCCTGTGAGTACTGTGGCCCAGCAGCCACCTGGCAAAGGCAGGATCTCCTCAGGACATCCCAGCCAACTTGTCTACCACTGGGAGTTCAGCTATGCCACCTGGGTCACTATTTAACATCACATGTTCGGGCCTCACCGCTGGCCTCCCTGGAAGGGGCATCTGAGGGGCTCACCCACTTATTCCAATGGCACTCAGATAACGAGGCCAAAGAGAGAGAAGGACTTGAAGGACACAGGGTTCTGGTGCTCCGTCTGAAAGGCTGGCCCCCTGAGCTAGGACAAGCTGCGTCTCTGTCCCGTCTTCGCATGCCACTGCCCAGGGCTCACCCAGAGCCAGGGGTTAATCCCCTAATTGCAGAAACACCAGGTCTTCAGGGAAGAAGTCACAAAGCTTCATCTCAAATCTGCTTTGTTGTTGCTCGGGTCTGCATCTGGCACGAGGTGGGAACAGGGCTTGGCGGGGGGCAGGGGGTGTGTACGGGTTCCTGAGTCAGAGCTCCTGGACTCATGTCTAGGTCCTGACGCGGGGCTGTGGGACCTTGGGAAAGTTACCTAGGTAGCCTGTGCCTCAGTTTCCCCCTATAGAAGTGGGGGTGTGGTGTCGCCCCATCATGTTGCAGTGAAGAAGAAATGAGATCAGTAATCAGCTCTGTCCCTCGCACAAGTGTGGATACATGGGAGAGGTCAGCCCCGTTCCTGTCCCGGCCAGGTGCCTCGCCCAGGGGGCCTCCGGGAAGGCCCTGGCTCTGAGCACGGGCCTCAGATGTGAAGGGCAGACCTGGCCCACCCAGGATCCCTGGGACCTGTGACGGAGGAGCGGGCCACTCACGAGGGAGGTGAGTGAGGGGGATTTACTCTCGACAGGGGTGGTTTTCCCACTAAATTAACATGGCCTTGGTCTGAGGGAAAAGTGGGGAACACTGTGATTACCCTCCTGAGGAGGTGTGACTCCCGGCACCAGCAAGCCTCCTGCCATTCACAGTGATGACAGCTCCCGGCTAACCCTCAGGGTGTGGCCTGGTCCAGGAGGGGGTGACTCGGGGGTTGGGGGAGGGACACACCCTGGGAGGGCAGTCAGGGCCCTGGGTCTGGGACATGTGAGAGCTGGGATCCTGAAGAAGAGGAACCAGGCCACCCAGACCCCTCCAGGGCCAGATCAGGCCCCACTCCCACCAGCTCTAAAACACAAGCTTCTTGGGAATTTCCCACGGGAACTCGCTTCTTCCGAAATGGCCGTAGCACGCCGTCTTCTGGTAGATGGGCTTCTTCAAATCCAAATCCCTGCATAGTCAGCAAAGGAAAGGGTCACTTTAAGTGGAAAAAGAGTAGAGTTTCTCTGAATTTTGAACACAGGAGTGACTAACAGTGTGATGATCTTTGCATGGAGTGTCCCTACTCAGAGCAATTTCCCATAAACTTCCTATCTGTGCTATACCACACCTTCTGAGGTGACTGTCACTGGCCCTTAGGAGACTGGCTCAGCCAGACGCTCCCAGGACCCAGAATCTGAACTCTGGCCTCACTGTGCCTCACTCCTCTCCTCTCCACTCCACTGGCCTGGTGCAGACCATTAACATCGCCATGCTCCAGAAAGCAGGGATGGCATTAGACACAAGGGTAGATGGGACTAGACCTGCTGACTCACTCTCAGCATTAGGCCTTAAAACTACTTTCCTACGACCCCCCACCTGCTCAAAGATGGCCCCACTGCCGTCAGTGTCCCCAGGCCAGCCTCCTCCAGGCATCCTGCATTTGGGGTCTGTGTCGTGCTGGGCCAGAAGCCTGGAGGTCCTCCTGCTTTGGAGAGGCTGGAAGTCCTTCTGTCCCTCTTCCAGCAAGAGCTGAGCCTCTGGGTGAGGGAGGAGGAAGGGCCTGATAGCGATGGGTGGCGCTATTACCTGACGATGACACCGGGCCGAAGGTCAAAGTTCTTGTTGACCACATCTAGCAGTTCTCTCTCTGTCTTCCGAGAGGTTCCGTAGGTGAAGATGGAAATGGACAGTGGCTCAGCCACACCAATGGCGTAGGAAACCTTCCAGAAGAGAGCAGCGTCAGGGACAGAAGCCTCTGTACCTCTCCGGGCAGCTGGACCACCCATCACTTGCCTCACGTGCTCCCCAGCCTTGTCTGCCTAGAAGAATCCCCACCATCTTCACAGGGGGCAGCCCTTTCTGTAGAGGACTATCTCCTTGCAGATTTTTTCCACCTCCCTCACGTTTTCAGGGTCCGTGCCCCAGAGCCCTTGGCAAAGTCTGTGGGCTTCCCGGCAGCCCAGCATGTCCACACCGGGGCCAGAGATGGGAGGTTCGGAGTGGGGCCCGCGCACCTGCACCAGCACTCTCCGGCAGAGGCCCGCTTTCACCAGGGACTTGGCCACCCAGCGGGCCGCGTACGCCGCCGAGCGGTCCACCTTGGTGTAGTCCTTCCCAGAGAAGGCCCCGCCACCGTGTGCCCCCCAGCCGCCATAGGTGTCCACGATAATCTTACGGCCAGTGACGCCTGCGTCCCCCTGTACAGGGAAAGGAGGATAAGGAGATGAGAAACAGAGTGCCAAGAGGGCAGGGCGGAGAGACCACGGCAGCACCCTGAGGGCCACCGGACTTACGTGGCAAGGGCTCCCTGAGGCTGCCTGTGGGCATTTTTTAAAGACTTTCCCTGTCCCTAAAGCTGTAAACCTTGGTGTCTAACCTCAGTTCAGTCATTGACCCATTACAAAAGCCAGGGAAGCTGACAGAGCCCCATCGGCAAGTGCAGACGATGGGCCAGAGGCTCTCTGGAACCCCAGCCAGTGCCTACTTCAGGCTTTGCTCTTGTGAGACGGTTATGCTGGAGAAATCCAACTGCAGGAGGGAACTGTGCTGTGACAGGTATGCCCTGGACTGTGGTCCTGGCTGGTGGCCATGGGCATGGGGCCCGTTTCCTCACGTGGCTGCTCTGTGCCACCTCGGGCGATCACCATGTTCTTAGCGGGCAGGGGCTCCACATTCAGGGCTTTGGGGAAAGACTGTGTACTCTACACCCAGGCTTTGAGACCCACAATTTCCACTAGCACATCTAGGCTTTGAGAAGTCCTACAGGAAATGACAGTAAGCTTTGCCTTTCTTTTACCCCGTGTCCCTGTACTATATTCGGTCACAGAACCAGCTAAGAACCGCCTGGCAGAGGTCAGTAGCCTCTCTGGGGAGCTCTGTCAATCCCTATTTCCTCCCTCTGGGAGAGAGAAAAGAAAGGGGGCAGCAGGGGTCCCCATCGAAACACCTGCCGCACATGAGTTTAAGGTAACCTGTGGCAAAAACTCCGTAATACCCCCTGGGAAAGGCCCATCACCTGCAATGGTGGGTTGGGTGAGGCAGCAGCATGGGCAAGTATGACCGGGGAGCAGGGGGCCAGGACGTACTAGGTGGGAGAGTCCTGGGGACATGCCATTCCACACGCACTGATGTGCACACGACCAGCCCCACGGAGTGAGAGCTGAGCTCGTGTTTTGTCCAAGGCCAGATGTGGCTGAGCCACGCAAAGCCACCCGCTCCGCTGTGCTTGGGCAGGTGAGCAACCCCAGTAACAAGGACAAAGCAGGACTCGGCTCAGAGGCAAGGGCGCACCTGGGGACCGCCAATGACGAACCGCCCGCTGGGCTGCAGGTGGTAGATGGTGTCTTCATCCAGGTACTTGGCGGGCACCACGGCCTTGATCACCTGCTCCTTCAGGGCCTTGCGCATGGCCTCCAGGGTTACGTCCTCATTGTGTTGCACAGAGATGACGATGGTGTGGATACGCACAGGGATGACAGCGCCGTTGTCCTGGGTGTACTGAACTGTCACCTGTTGGGTCACAAGAGCAGGAGGAGACACTGCAAGGTACTGCCCTGAGCTAAGGACACATTGCTATCAGGCTCCCGGGAGCCAAGTTGGGGCGGGGAGAGGGGCTCCTGTCCTCTCCAAGGGCCTCCGGGAAAGTTAATCTGACATATTCTCATATTTGAGCAACTGCCCCACGCTAAGTATGGGATAACTGGGTATGAGGCATAAGTAGTTCCCACCTAGGACCCCTATTAGTGCCCCCTAGAGACTCAGGGTTACAGAGTTTCTCCTCTATCTGTGACCCAACTAGACTCCCCCCCTTCTATCTCAGAGGGCACTGGGTGCCAACAAATGTCCCATGGCCAAAGCCCTCTCTTGACCCTCCACAGCCTGGAGCCAAGGTATCCTGGCTCCCGGCAAGAAGCACAGGAGTCCGCCTCACCCAGCCCCTCAGTGGATGAGCTCTGGAAGTGTATGGGGCCAGGGGACTTGCCTGCTGTAGGGACAGGGTGAGACGGACTCAGGTCAGGCTGGCTGAAACTGAGGGGGCGAAAAGCCGCGCATGACTGACATCTGGGTATCTAAGCTCAAGCAAGGAAAAGCCGAGAGCACGTGGAGGGAAGGAGCCCACGTGCAGGACCCCTGCAAGTGAGCAGTGCGATGCTCCCTTCTACCCAACTGCGTCAGCGCTGCACCCGTTCTGGGCCCTGCCGAGTCCTATTTAAGTCATCCCAGCAAGACTGGCATTCTTATCTCCACTTTACAATTGAGAAAAACAAGGTATGAGCAGTGGAGCAACTTGTCTGAACTCACACAGCAGTCAGAGAAAAGCCAAAAAGCCAAACCCTGTTCTGACCCATCCAAAAGCTGGCGTCATTCCCACAGCAGCACAGACAAAATCCTCTTTCACAGACCCGGGGCTATGCTGATCCATCAGCGAGCACAAGAGGCCGATGTCACAGCCTGATCTGACCAGTGGCCAAGGACTGCGGTCTGGACACACCAGGCTGACAGAGCGAGAGGGAGGGGACAGTGAGGATGGCAGGTGAACCTGGGAAAGCAGTTAGCGCCTCAAGGTGGGGGAAGTGGTTGCTAGCCCTGGGGCTGTGTGGCCTGGTAGCCGGGGCACTGCCCAGTAGAAGGCTGCTGCTCAGGACCTGGAGGGACACTCGGGAGTCATAGGCCCCTGTGCCACCCGAGGCATTGTGGACACACTGGGCGAGGGGTGGGGGGGGGTACGTGGGGCCCGCAGGAGTGCAGCTAGGCCAGATGGCCCTGGTAGCAACACGGGCTACCAGGCGAAGCACTATTCTTATGCCAGGGCTTCAGAGGACCATGGGATGGCCAACAGTGCCTCCCCGGGGCTGTGCCTCTGGCAGGATCTCTGCCTGCCCAAGGCCCCTCCGCTGTCCGCCAAGTACTGGGCCTGTTTCCAACTCCTACTCTGTGCCCTGCCTGCTTCGAAAAGCCTGAGGTGGAGTCCAGAAGAAGGAAGGGCCTTGCCCACGTGACATCTGATCCTAGCACGAGAGGCAGGGGCACAGGGACATCTGTGGTGGGGGCTCCCAGTAGGGGAGGCCTGTGGCCGGCTCTGGGACCAGACCCACTGCGTGGGCATCAGGCCCAGGAGAAGGCTCCTGCCCTGAGGAGCTGCAGGGCCCGTCTTCCCCCCTCACCTGCTCCCTGGATGTCCCACTCGGCCAGCCGTGAGCCCTGGGCTTCCATGTAGAGCCACACAACTGGGGCAGGGCAAAGAGTTCCAAGTGCGTCCCTTATCTCAGCATGTCAGAAAGATGTGGGGAAAAACACACCATGGAAAACACCATTCTGACTAGGTATAAAAATAGCTGTCCACACCGCCACTCGAGTCCCATATCAGCGGCAAGCATTTGTTCAGGTGGAAAGACTCATCCTGTTCACAGTCAACACTCTGCTGAGGTCATGAAAGCCCTTCTCCAACGGGCTCGGGAGCTGGCCCAGAAACCGGTTCTGACCCAGTATGGCTCATGGGGAGGCACCGCTTGCAGGACTGTGGGACAGCTGGCCGGGGCCGATCCACCCCCGCACCTCCATAATGCCAGGGGCTCAGCCCCCCTGCAGCAGGGCAGTGAGGTGGACTTCAGTGTCCAGGTAGCATTAAGAGGCTTCTGTGTAGCCCTGCAGGAAGGGAGCCCCCAGAAGAGCACATCATGGTCCCCCAGCCCCCATCGTGGACTTGGGATCCTCCAAGTACTAAGCGGGATGATGCAGACCTTCCCTGTTTTGGCCGGTCCCACGGGGGTGCCTCCGGGCCTCACGGCCACACAAGGAAAAGGAAAACCCTGTAGCTCGACTTCCTCCCACCCCTGTTCCACGATTCTGTGTTCTGAGAATCTCCACCCCACTTTCCACCGTAGCGCTGCTCTGCCTCAGGACCGGCCCAGGTGCCCCAGCACCTCCTGTGTGCCCCTCTCTTTCAATCCCACCAGTCTTTGTATGTCAGCTCCCCTGCCCCACAACCTCAGAGCACCCCTGAGGAGTACTGATGGCTCCCCTCCCCACCTAGGGGTCCCTTGGAGAACACCAGGAAGGGTTTGCTTTGGGCCACAAGTGCACTTCCTTGCCCCATTCAGCCCAGCGGCGACCTCTGCCCTGTGCGGCCTCCCACCGGGGCCAAGAAGGATGCACCTTGGGATAACAGGACAGTCACGTGCTTTGTGCTGAGCTACACAACCACGTGGGCCCAATTCCAACTACAGGAACAAGAGAAGGCCCCGTTAGGTGGCGGTCACCAGGGAAAGCCAGAGGAGGTGGGAGCTTTGTGGGCCACTGATGGAGAGGGGAGGACCTGAGAAGATTCCAGGTAAGGTGGAGGGTGGGAACACAGGTGCAAAGCACTAGAAATAAGGGGAACAGGAGTGAAATCAGCCAGATTAAGCAGACTGGGGGAGGGGAGGTAGAGGAAGTTAAAACTGGGAGACCATAAAAGGCTTGGAATCCCAGAATAACAAGTAGGGTTCTGTCCTCCTATAGGAAGCAGAAAACTACAGAGGATTCTATTCTATGTTGGCTAACTGAACATAATAATTTAAAAAAAAAAAAGAAGAAGAAGAAGAAATTAAAAGTCCAAAGGGAGTTAAGGGGAGTTTCCAGGCAGGGAGAATCCTTGGTGTGGATCCTGGCCCTGGGAACCAGGCTGGAGAGGAAGAGATGCTCTGGAGGGAAAGCACAAAGCAAAGCAGGGTGGAGACGGGGGGCAGGGGGGCACTGATCAGGAGGTGGGGGCACCACTGCACTCCCTTGAACTGTGGAGGAGACAACACTGAGGCCACACATGATGGCTCCCAGGCACAGGTGTTTACAGGGTGGACGGGAAACACGGCTGCTGATTCAGAGACCTGGCAGGCAGAAGCTTGGGGCGCTGAGAGGGACACGGTGGAAACTGGGCAGAAGTGTGGGTGGAGGGAGAGAGTGTGTGAAGAAGGGCCCAGGACCTGTTGGAGGGCAGAGGAGGAACTGGGAAGGCAGCCCTGGGAAAGGGGCCAGCAGGGTCACCAGGGTTAAACTAGGCAGGACGCAGAGAGAGGGGGAAGACTGGGGGCCTCCATGTCCGCACTTGCATCACGGTCGACCTTCAAATGTGGACATGGGTGAGGATTTCCCCACCACATAGAGCAGTGAGGTCAGGGCCCGAGGGGACAGGGAGTCCAAAACAGCAAAGGGAGAGCCTTTTTATGGGAAACAGGGGTAAAGGGTCACAGCGAGACGCAGACAGCCCTTGTCAACTCGGTGTTCAGTCCTTGCTCAAGGTGGGGAGACCTGTGGAGGTGGAAGGGCAGTGACCGATGTCTGAAACCGATCAAGCACCCTGTGGCAGGGATCAGGAAGTCATGTGACCAGGGTCAATATATGCTAAGAGGGCAATAAAGAAAGATCTAGAACAGCTCTTTCTATTTTTCTGTATTTTAAACATTTTTCATAATAAAATTGGGAGAGAAAACATCTAGACCTGAAGAGTTTTCAAACAAAGAGTTCTTTTCACAATCAGTAACTCTTGCATGTCCAGACTGAACATTTTGATCCGAGTGATGACACAAAATCAAGAGGGCCACGGGGTGCGGGAAGGGGGTGTCTGGGGCTCCGTGGGAGGTGAGAGGAGGAAGCTCACCTGAGTCTTGGAGTCGGGCCGCAGCCAGGGGAGGACCCCGGAGCGTCTGAGGTCCGCCATCCGGGCGTTGAGCTTGTGAGCGAGGATGATAGTGAGGGGCATGCACTCTTCTGTCTCGTCGGTGGCATAGCCGAACATCAAGCCCTGCAGCAGGGGGAGGGCCGGCCGAGCAAGGCCCACGTTACACGGCGGGAACGTCCCTCCAATCTAACACTTGGCCGGCACTCTCGGGTGTATTGGGTGCCTCGTGCATGTACCACCCACACGGGACTGCGCCCCATCCAGTGCTCGTGACCTTCCCGGCCAGCTCCTCCCCGGAGTCCGAGCCAGGGTGGAGAAAGACAGTGCTATCCCCACAACCCGACACTGCGCCCATGCTCCCTGTGTACTTACCTGATCCCCGGCCCCGACATCCTCTTCGTTTCTGTCTAGATGCACACACTGGGCTATATCCGGGGACTGCTGCTCCAAAGCCACCAGCACGTTGCAGGTCTTGAAGTCAAAGCCTAGGCAGAAGGGAAAGTGGGCCTCAGTGAGGGGACGGGTCAGGCAGAGCGTGGCTGTGAGCTTCCTGGCAGACTGCTCAGCTCCTCGTGTGGCATCTGGTGTTGAGGTGGGTGGTCTCTAACCAGCTGTGGTCGGTCGGGCTCAAAACTGAAGGCCCAGGGATGGGAAGCCCGTGTAGCCTTCCCATATGATCATCCGGAACTCTAAGTCAAAGAAAACCCTCCACAGTGCATTTTACTATATTAAATTATACCCAGATTATATAAAAACCAGATCAAGAGCTACAGCCGCTCAGGCTGAAGAGCAGGTGGGTCACTCTGGCCCTGCCCCCTTAGGCACCTTCTAAAACCAGGCTGAAAATCACCTTCCAGCTCTGCAGTTCCGGAGCCCAGGTGTGTGCCTGGTGCAGGTATTGAATATACTGGACACATATAATGCACAGGAATTACCCAGACAGGCTCCCAGACCTAGAGTCCTCTGATCCCAAGCTATGCACATGGCTTGGAGCGTAATGGAAAAGCATCCCTCTGGAGCCCGAGGCCCCATCCGCCCATCCCCAAAGGTCAGGCACAGGGATGGAGGCTGTTTTCCCCAGCTAAGGGCTGTAGGCTGGGAACTGGCTTGCAGAGGTTTGGCGGGCGGCAGCCCAGCCCAAGGAGCCCCGGGGAGGGGCTGCCACACCTGGACAGCACACCCATCTGCCTGTCGGTCCTCAGGTCTTGCCAGGCTCAGCCATGGGGACTGCATGAATGAGGGGCTGAAACTCACAGAGGCCCCACCACAAGGTCAAGTGTTACTGGCAGGCTGAGTAGCTGCCACTCTCTTGCCAGTCGGTTCTATCGAGGCTGTCCGTGTGAGCTCACTACGACCAACCAACCAGCCGACCAGATCCAGTCTGCTGTTCCTGTGCATGCTTCACGTGGGGACCTCCCGCCAAATGAAGCAGAACGCAGCCCCTCAGCTCCACGCAGCCCCTCCCTGCTGAACTGCCCCAGCCAAGCACTTGGGTGTAGCCTTCAGCGTGGCTCGCTTTTCTACCTCCACTTTATGTCTCTGTGCAGAACACTCCTCCTCCGACTCCCCATCCCCACACACCCAAATCCGACCGGCTCTCAGTAAACGCCCCTGGACCGTCCCTCCTTCTCCCTCCCTTCACTGCACACTGTGCCACCGACTGGCCACTGGGCACCTGGTACCGCGTCATCTAATGCCAGGCAGCAGCCCAACCCCGGGAGCATCAGGTAGCCTCTGTCCCTTGCAGCTTCCTGCTCCCAGCAAATGTTTCTGAACACACACACCAATAACCGTCTCTAGAGGGCTGCCAAGGACTCAACACCGTGCATTAAACACTTTGCATTTTTCCTAATCATGGTGAATCATCTCAGTGCTACAAATCCATCAAGCACTCCAAGTGACTTGGAAACACGGAATTCAGGGGACTAAGGAGAGAGGAGCAAGGCCCGGAAAGGCAGCTGTCCAGCGACTGTGCAGCCCAGAGCAGTGAGGGGCAGGTAGCCAGGGGCCCCGCTAGGGCAGCCGCCACGCTGCACGGGCTCCTGTGGGTGCAGGCGCGGGGACAAGCTGGGCACGCAGAAATGCCACCAGCAGCAGAGCTGGCCTCTCGCTCGCTTCACTCTTTCTAGGAGACATGGCCTCCTGGGAAGTTTCCCTTTTGCATAGCAAGAACAAGACTTGCTCTTGAATAAGGTCTACACAAATGTAAACAATCGGCTTCTCCTTGTGGAACGGGGTGAAGGCTCTGCAGGGTAGCCTGTCGGGAAGCTGCTGCCTGGGGACAGTGTTTCCTCTATGAACACCCTCGTGTGCTGACTGGGAGATTCTGCCTGTGCTCGCTGGTCCTCCTCCCGCTGATTCCCAACACAGTCCCCCCAAACTGTCATGTGCTCAAGGGAGTGCTCTGGGCAGCTCAGAAGGTGGCTGCCCTGAGCTTCTGTGTCTGCACCTGCAGTTGCGAGGGGCTCCCGCTCACAGGTGTGCACTGCATCATTCCAGTCTGCCCTGACGCACAGCGGTGGCACACGTCGCCCTAAAGACCCAGTAGCTGGGATGTCCGTGCACACAGGCCTTCAGCATCTGGCTCTCGCGGGTGGTCTTCTGAGGCCACTCCAGGCTGAGCCCCATCCCATCCTGCCCTGTCTCCGATGTTGGAATCTGCTTTGGACCCTCCTGTTCTTTCCAGATGTCACTCCCCCTGATTGCGGAGCTCCTCCTCACTCCTGCCAGGGCCTGTGTCCCTTTCCTGGAAAGCAGGTCCCCGCACTGCCTGGCACTGGAGCCCACCTCGGCCAGTTTGCCCCCTTCACCAGCCATGGCTACCACTTCTAGACAGAGTCGACTTTTTCTCTATCATGAGAAGCAGCAGAGAGAAGCAGAAAGCACAGGGGTCTACACAGGCAGCCGACTGCCAGCTGTCGCTTTACACAAAGGGTGGATATTCCAAGCTTTAGTTTCCTCATCTGCGGGAGGAGTACAGCAGAGGGCCTCAAACAATGCAGGAGGACACATCCCCAGCAGGGGGCAGCTCCCCTCCTTGGTGGGCACTTCTCTCTTTCAAAGCCTTTGCCTGCACCAAGAAGACCAGAGTCGAAACAGACAGAGGGACAGACATGGGCTAGTTCAACTGGATGCCATCACATGGACCACCATGCTGTTCCCAGAGACTTTGACCCCTGACCCTGCCAGACGGGCCTAGGCATGTTTTCTTCCCAGGGGTATTTGCCCTCACCGAGGACCGAGAGCCTCAGTTCAGACACACTGTCGGGACACCCACGCGTCTCAGACCCGGGGCCCCGCCTCACCCTTGGCAGAGTCGTCATAGCCAATGTGCCTGATGGCGCCTCTCACCACCCGCTGGTAGTCCACTGTGGCCGTGGAGGTGATCTCGCCGCACAGCAGCACCATGCCCGTCTTGCACACCGTCTCTGCGAGAGAGGGAGGAAAGTGGGCGGCCACGAGCCGGCCAAGGGGAGCCCCTCCCAGACCCTTGTGGAAGTCTTACAAGGCACAAATTCTGGAAATAAAAGACTAAAGCTAACAAACAGAGTACATCCCAGCAGAAGGGCTGAGCACATGTAAGAGCCGCCCAGAGAACTGCACCTCAGACAGAATGGGTCACACCTCACTCTCGCAGAGAGCGCCTCCTGCTCGTGTCATCTCGAACCACTTATTTAACCTCTCTCAGTCTGCTTCCCCAACTAATACCCGAAGACAATACTTCTAGGGACTGCCGTGCAGCTCAGAGTGAGACGATGGGGGCTGGTGGCTGTCACAAGGAATGCGGTCCAACATGCACTGGTGTCCAGGACGCCTCGCCCACCCCTTTTTGATGACACTGCGCTGCAGGCTGAGATCCTGAGAGCAAGGAGGACCAACCTTCTCACTGGCTCTTCACCAAGCTATTGGGGTGAGGTCCACCCTCCGAGGGTGCAGGTCCCTGCGGGGCTCCAGGCAGGGGCTAGGGCGGCCCTGGAGAGGGAGGGAGCCATCTGGGCAGTGCACAGGGAGGACAGCGGGGCTCTGGTCTCCATGCAGGCACCTCTGCCCTGTGACCTTGACCAAGGCCCTAATTCAGCTGTACCCATAATCACATTGGGGAGCCCCCCAGGTGCTGGGTTCCCTGACCCCCACTGTGACGAGAGCTCTGGCACAGGCACAGGCAAAGGGCTCAAGCCCAGCCCACTGAGGTCTTCCGCAGGGAGGGAGCAGGCATTTCTCACCGCAGGCCACCTTGGCATTGGGGTCCTGCTTCAGATGGGCGTCTAGCACGGCATCGCTGATCTGGTCACAGATCTTATCTGCACAAGAATGAACATGTACGAGAATCACAGAAATATCAGGTATTACAAACTGAAGTGTTAAAATAATTAGATACTTGGTAAGTTTACATATCAAATTTACCTACCTAAGAGGATACTGTTTTAAATATTAAAAATTAGAAACTTTTTGAAATTTTTATTTCTTCTCCTTTCTGCCTAATTTTGGATGATTTATATTATATAAACTCAAGGTGTTCCCGAAAAAAGAAGTACATTCCAAAATCAGTTCTAAGAGACTAAAGCAATTCACATACAGAGACACAACACACACACACACACACACACACACACACACACACACACACATTCTCCTACTAAAAAGCCTCTCATTCCTCAAGATATTCCCTTTAAGTCTAAAATCTAGAAAACTCCTAGAAATAGAAGTTAAAACAGCTAACAACATCGGTAAGATTAGGTGCCAACACGTAAAGTCAGATGGGACAAACAGATACATTGCGCCACAGGTTCTAGAAGCTGTGTGTGCTATGCATACGATACTATGCCCAAATCCACCCCCTCCCACCCCCAGGAATTCCAGAGGAGAGCTTCTAACATCATTGCTGTTCTGCAGAACATTTTCATAAGCAGCTCTGCGATCACGCCCACGGTCTCACAGCCTCCTAAAAGCTATTTGTCCTCTTAGCTGGGTTTGACCTCAGTCAAGGTGGGACTGACAATGGCTCAGCAGGAGCTGGGATCTGATCTTTTTCCACTACTTGGCTTAAGGACTCTACATGGTTGAACCTACAAACCCTCAGTGCAGTGCACTGTGGAAAAATCCAGTCTTGCCTTGGGTTGGGTGAACTGCCAATGTTCACAGACTCAGAAATAAAAGTGACATCTATTTACACATATTATATCTCATTTAATGTTCAAAATATCCATAGAGTTTGCTCTTAATAGAGTCATAAGGTTTTTTCTCAGCTTTATCAAGGTATAATTGGTATACAAAAAAAACCTGCATAAAATTAAAGTATATAATTTGGGGAGTCTGGACATGTGAATACACTTCTGTGACCATCACCATAAACAAGGTAAGAAACATAGCCGTCACCTCCAGAAGCTTCCTTGTGTCCTTCTGTTGTGTTTTTGCTTTTCAGTTTTCATATTAAGGACCCAGACCCAGAACCAAGTGATTCTGCTCTCACAAGCACATCACTTAAAATGTTAACATCAATGCAACTTAAAATATTAATCTGCAGGGCGCCTGGGTGGCTCAGTGGGTTAAGCCTCTGCCTTCGGCTCAGGTCATGATCTCAGGGTCCTGGGATCGAGCCCCGCATCGGGCTCTCTGCTCAGCAGGGAGCCTGCTTCCCCCCTCCTCTCTGCCTGCCTCTCTGCCTGCTTGTGATCTATGCCAGTCAAATAGATAAATAAAATCTTTAAAAAAAAAAATTAATCTGCCATTCAAGGTGAGTCCTCTAAACTTGCCTTGGGGAACTGCTCCTACACCTTGAGGCTCTCTGTGCAACCTCCTGTCAGCGGCAGAGCTGACGGTAAATCTAGGTTTATCTGAGGCCACCGCCTCTGCACACCCCTACCAAGGAAGGCCTGCTGCTAAAATATCCCTTTAGGCCCACCTGTCAGGACTGCTAGGGCTGCCCATGTGCCCGCTGTGGATGACTGTTTCTTTCAAGGACGCAGTTCACATGTCCGCAGTCCACCCATGGAGGTGGGATAAGGGGTATTAGGAATAAAGCTAGAGCTGAGCAAGAGTGTTAAGATAGCTCTACAGACTAAAGGAATGCCTAAGGAGGCCCTTTCTGTACTGTTTCTTTAGGCTTTTGGAATTTCTATCACTAGCGCTCAGTAGCTTTAAGATAGCCTATAGCTGGTTTTCTGGGAAGTTGGAAAAGCATTCGTATCATCCTCCTAGTGGAGAAGAAGTCAGTGCTGGAATGACAAGCAAGCCATCACCAAGGTTTATGGGAAGCTGAATTACATGGACAGTTCATTGTTCGTGGCAAGTGAAAGGAGAGTCAGACGAACTGAAAGGCTACCATTAAGTGGACAAAACAGCCAACTGGATGGCTAGAATTTTTCTTCTCTGTCCACTGAGCGTACTGCTGTATGTACAACGGGACCACTGGCCACTGAGTGTCAAGCACCCACATCCTCTGAGTGGGTCAAATCCTTCTCCTAACCCGTATATGGTCTCCATGGGTTACATGTGGAAATGAGTCCAAGGTTACAAGCATTGTAGACCCAGAGACTTTATAAAGTTGTGCATGATGAAAGAGGCTGTTTGTTTTGAATTGAGCTAAGTCACCTACAAAACTCAGTGTAAGCCACAGTTTCTCAACAGCAGTACTGTTGACATTTGGGGCTGGAAAATTCTTTGTTGCAGGGGGAGGGTCCTGGGCATTCAGGATGTTTGGAAGCTTAGCTGGCTTCCAGCCACTAAGGGTCAGGAGCACCCCCAACCCCTCACGCAGAGTTCTGTCAGACAACCAAAGAAACGGTTTCAGGAAGACAAATACAAAATGCCCTTAGGGGAAAAGGGCAACATCGCCCCCTGTTGAGAACCACTGGCTAAAGCGTATGGAAGGAGTGGGGCGGGGAGATGATGAAAGCTGAGTTAGGAGTATGCAAGAAAGTGGATGAGGAACAGGAAGAAAAGGCAGCCTTGGTGCTAAGTTACCGTAACTTCAAATACTCAAATGAATTTTGAAGAAGTGCTTAAAAGTCATAAATCAATGTGTCTAGCCCTAGGATTCTTCTACAACAGTGATTCTCAGAATGTGTTTCCCACAGCAACAGCAGCAGCATCTCCTGAGAACTTTACTGAAAACGCCAATCTTGAGCCTCAACCAAGACCTACTAAATCAGAGACTCTGGGGGTGGGTGCGGTACTGTACACCAGCAAGCCTGCTGGGGGACGCAGATGCTCCCGGAGGTCTGAAAACCACTGACCTCCAGCCTGAGGCTCTGATCATGGGCCTCGCTGCCCGCATGTGTGAGCCTCTCCCATTTCCCCTCATCACCAAAAACTGCTCGAATGTTCTTCCTCTTCAGGAGGTCACCTGTACTTCTCTCAGCTAACACACTTAAGGCCTTCAGGACCTGGTGATCTATCTCAGCGACTACTAGAATGTGCCGTTCATGCCTAGCCTGCATGTGCCTTACATGCAAAACTCAGTGACCACAGTCTTGTCTGCGGGAACGTTCCCTGTTGACTTGTCGCTCATCGATAATAAAGCTTTATTCTCGCCCCCACCAAAAATATATATAAAGTGGATATCTGATGACACACATCCCCTGTATACTATGTTCCGTCAACACAGTGGGTGTTCTCTGCTGCAGCCCCATCACGTGGAGATGCTGGAGGTGGGCAAGCGCGAGCCCTGGGCTTCATTGCCTGATCACTTCCCAGTTCATACTCAGTGGCTGTTTTACAAAACTACAAACTAATAGAATGAAAAACACCTCATACCGCGACTCCAGAGGTCCCGCAGAGTAACCAACACAAACTGTCTTTAAGGCCTCTGGTAAAATGACTCCCCTGGGCAGCAGCTGCCACGAGCCCACGACCACCTACTCACCCGGGTGCCCCTCTCCGACCGACTCTGAGGTGAACATGAATGCTCCTTCTTCGCTTAGAGAATGGTCGCACAAGCCATCCACCGGGCCATTCATCTTGGCACACTTCTCCACTCAGCTTCTTCAGGGTACCGATTTCAGCGCTGTGATTTTGCCTGAGATTTGTTTGGGGTTTTGGTTTTGTTGGTTTTTTTTCCTTCTGTAAACCCGGCAGGCTTGTCTTTGGCAGAGCCACAGGGCTCACTCCTGCAGACCAGCCTGTGAGCACATGAGAGGAAGGTGAGGAGGGAGGGACTGAGCGCAGTAGTGTCACTCCCTCTGACTGGTCACAGCTTGCTCCTGAGTGACTCCTATATATGGAAAAGTGAAAGTGCCTGAATAGTCATGTGAGAAAATTGGAGGAGTCCATTTCCTGGGAGGGGGTTCTTCTTACCTTGAGGGATTCCAGTCATCAGCTTGGACGTCCCGAGCACAGGCATCTGGTCAGTGTGTGGTAAAGAAAGCTGTGTAGATGCTGTAGAACTGAAGCTCCTTTGGGAACCTGCTTCAGCTCTGCAGCTAATCTCCATATTGCTCCAAGGTTAACATACCACGTTGGAGGGTGGGGGTCTGTGGTGACTCAGGGATACAAACAGGCAGCCAGGAACTCTTTCCCAGAGATACGGTTTAGGCGAAGCCTGCAACACAGGGTGGCCTGTGCTATTGGGTGCTGGCCTTCCTCCCCCACACCTTGTCTGGCTCGGGCTCTCCTCCTCCTTCTACCTTCTCAGAGCTAAAGCATGCACCTGTATCCTGAGTCAGCTCAGATGTTACACAACACATTCATTCAGAGGAGAAGCTTTTGAGCCCATATTTTTCTGCTAATAGAAATCGCCTAAACTGTCAATGTCTCTCACATGCTGGCAGTCACCTTGACAAGCAAGACGTTAAGAAGTATCTGGACAGGTTATAGAAGACAATGCTATTTTGGGAAAGGAACTCTTGAGAGACGGATTCATTACAGGGAAATTATCAGAGTCCAGGTTCCCAGAGCTCCCGTAAGATAAATTAAACACCTACCTATTCGGTCCTGTTCACCTGGTCAAAACCCTGCTCACAGGACTCCCGCACATTTTTTGCTTTGACCAAGGAACATGGACAGGCTTACACCTTTTAGCCAAGTCATGCACTAAATGAAGGTGTCTCTCTATCTCTTCATTGTCTCCCACCCTCAGATCTAGCTGCGTCCTCAGGCTAGCACAACGGCAGGGGATTGAGATCACAGTGAGAATGGGTGGAGAAACCAGTTCCCACTAGAAGGCAATAAAATGTAAGCAGCCAGAGGCTTGTGCACCAAATGCTGGACTGTGGGAAGCAAAAGTTGGGATGCGATAGCCCCCACTAACAATTCTGCTACCCAAATTCCCTCTATACTCAGAATGTGAGCAATTAAAAATTTTTTCTCTGGTGCTCCAAATCTGGAGTGCTGGTTGGCTGTAGCAGCACTATCCCTCCAGGGAGAAACTATATTAAAGTGACCGCTTCTGGGATGAAGTAAGAGAATTTACATATACATATTTCATCAGAGGCATTTAAGAAAGAGGGAGCTGGAATGCTCAGGCACAAGACTGCTGAAGGTCCAGAGAGGAAAAGGCCACTGGGAAAGGACGGAAAAATGAGGATCAAATAGGGACTTTAGACAACATAGCCTTGTCCTTGTCAGAAGCCAGGACTCCTCCTGTTTGCACTTAAAATATTTCAACATCGCTGTCCCTTTGTAAATTTCTTCTGGGTACACTGGTTTCAAACCTGGAGGCAATATGAGCTAATGTTTAATGTGAACTATAGACCTAGGTTAGCCCAGCAGCTAGAACTATGGCCATTATGCTTTAACTCTGCTGCAAGAGCAAGGTGGTGTTTAAGTAGCAAGTACTCACCAAGGTCCCAGAGCTGGCAAGAAATCAGAGCGCAAAGCTGTCTCACTGCTCCCTGAATTCCAGAATAACTAAATGGGCATGTCCAATACAGAGAAGTAGTGCTTTGGGAGAGATAACCAGGAGGCTTCTGCAGTCTGGACACAGATTCAGAGTGAGGGAAGGATCTGGAAGCACCAAGTTCAGTACCCATCTTATGTGTGAGTCTCATATGACATCCCCACTCAATCTAGGCCACCTTATATTCTTTTAGCCCACAGATGTTAACAAGCAGCACACAAAACACGGTGGGTGGGAGTGCAGGCTTCAGGGCTGGAGTCCTGTCTGGCCTCTAACCCACTATCCACCCTGGAGAAGGCTTCCCAACCTCTCAGCTCCTGCTTCCTCAACTGTAAATCAGGTTAAATGACTACCGACCTCACAGCATCATTGTGAGAAATAGATGTGGTCATTCAGGTAGGATGAGGATTGAGCATAGAGCCAGTGCACAGTAAGACTTTAATAAAATATTACTTAAGTGCCTTCTATGTACATATGATTTTCTTATGTATAAATATAAAATGCAAGACCAAAGCAATGCTGAATCAGTCAAAAGATTTCCCTCTTATAGTAAATGTTACCAGTTAGAAAAAAAAAAATTGATTTGCACCAAGAGTTAGAATAGTGGCTTCAATCAGCCCCCTTTTGACTTAGAAAACTGAACCAAGAGGGACTTGGCCATCATGAACTCAAATTAAAGCCTGCCTTACGCACATGCTGTCCCTTACGCATGAATTGTCCTAATGTCCCTCCCTCCCCAAGCCCCACTGATTACCTAAGTCCAATTCAATGTGTCAAAGGCCCACAGTTGATTTCATTTCCATGTAACAACCTTCAACTCTGAAGTTTTGCTGACAAACCTCTGAAGAAACTTGGCTTTGAAAACAAATTATCATTTTGGTCAGATTTACACGTGATATTAAAATATAAAATACCAAATGAACATTAAATACAAAGCAAATGGCTGTGTGTAAGCCACACTGACCAGTTTCATGAAGAGGCTTTGATGGGACCTGACTCCAGGTAGCTAGTGGAGACCACCTGGGTGGACGGTGCCCTTGGCCTGCTCCTGCACCTTCCATGCTTGATGGCTATACCACAGACAAGAGATAACGCAGTGTTGATGACCCAAAACTCTGGATACAGAGGAGTGAACATTCACTTCTTAAAAGCTGTTAAGTGCAAACATTTAACAACTTTGGTGAGAAACTCCCTTAACCATCTAAATGGCATAATAATCACATGGACTATTTTCAAAAGATTTAGTACTTTTGCCCTCATTAATTTAAGCACAAACTCTTCCTACATATATCATTCTAGAACACGAATAATTTATTTATGAAAGAAAGATAAACAGATTCAGATTATACAGTCTTTTAAAATTTTAGGCCACTTCAACGATTTGTGACTTTGGTTCAGCAAAAAAATCCAAATAAGCACTCGATATACAAAGGCTATTCTGGAAAGGAAGGGGAAAAAATGTGGAAAGATTTCACAGAAAAAAGCAGAATCTGATCTGGACCCCAAAGAAATTATAGCATTTTAAAGGCAGTAAGGAGATGGTAAGGCTGTGGGGCCAAGAAGTCCCCATGTGGCTTAGAGCTGGCACAGAGGACCATTGTCCCAACTCTACTTGGGAGGTGGGAGGTGCCTGGGCAGGGAGGTGGAGGGCAGGGAAAGCAGGTGAGCCAGGAGCTGGGACTCAGGGCAACAAGGAGCCATGCAGGGAGTCAAGCAAATGGGGGTTTTCTATCTGACAGGAAAATGTGAGCTAGATTATAGAGGAAAAGCCTTCCAAAATCAGAGACAAGAGATAAAACTCCTGCCTTGATCCAGGAGTAGCCTGAGAAGCAATGGATATGGAGACATTCGTCGGATATAAATCCTGCCCTGCCTCCATTGTTTCTCTTCCTAGAATCATCCCTTCCCCCAAACACTGATACCCCAGCTTCCGGGGACCTGAGATCCTAAGAAGTAATTTCAATTTCTGATCCTTTATCATCCGTATCCAATTTCCCCCAAAGCTTGTCAGCAATTCTTCCTCAGTGGTGCCTTGGAATTCTCTTCCTCCATTTTCATATCCGCAAGTAGTCACATCTGTGCCCATCCTTGCTATCTCACATTTGAGTTAGGCACCACCTGGGCCCAGCCTGCTGTACCAACATACCCTTCAGAGGCTGGTACCATGCTCCATATACTGGGTGCCTTAAAATGGCCTGCTAGTTGGTAGCTGGAGAAACAAGCCATCTCTTACACTACCTCACCTCAATTAAGGCATACAAACAAAATATTCACACAGTAAGAGCTAAACAATCTCCTGGAAAAACTCCTACGCTGGAATACCATTCAGCAGTCAAAACACGAACCACAATACCACACGCCAAAATACAAATGAAGTGCAACAGTATTCAGTGAAAAGGGGGCCAAAAGATGATATACAATCCCCCTTTAATAAAAAATAGAATATGATTTGTAACACGTAATTTTCAGAATATATAAAGATCCAATAAAGGATTCAAAAAGGAAAAGAAGGAAGTGAGATCACTGAAAATGGGGGGGTAGAGAACTGAAAGCTTCCATCCAGCCACAAAAATCAACTAATACCTGGAAAAATTCCTGTTTAAATCAACTGTTGTGAAACTCTAGAATTAAGTCAAGAATTTATAGGAAGCTTAATAAAGAAAGAGGCGGTCACACTTACTGTGATAATTATTGCTGTCACCTGCAGAAAGAGAATGCTGTTGCATTTTATTTATTTTTTAAAGATCTTATTTATTTATTTGACAGAGAGAGAGAGAGAGAGATCACAAGTAGGCAGAGAGGCAGGCAGAGTGGGGGGGAGGCAGGCTCCCCGCTAAGCAGAGAGCCTGACGCGGGGCTCAATCCCAGGACCCTGAGACCATGACCTGAGACAAAAGCAGAGCCTTAACCCACTGAGCCACCCAGGTTCCCTGCTGTTGCATTTTTTTTTAAAGATTTTATTTATTTATTTGACAGACAGAGATCACAAGTAGGCAGAGAGGCAGGCAGAGAGAAGGGGAAGCAGGCTCCCCACTGAGCAGAGAGCCCGATGTGGGGCTCGATACCAGGACTCTGGGATCATGACCTGAGCCGAAGGCAGAGGCTTTAACCCACTGAGCCACCCAGGCACCCCCGGCTGTTGCATTTTAAATTGGCCACCCCATCCTGCACTCCCCAGATCCATGACATCCATGAAGATGGTAATTCATGTTCCCAATGCAGTTGTTAGTGCAGAATGAGCAAAAAAAACCCTATTCTCAAATAACTGAGGTTGTATTTGTTTGTTTTTTTACCTAATAGCTCCCAGAAGGACTGGTGTAAAAGCTGGCTTTTGTTTTGCCCAACTTGGAGCAGAAA